GGTTGTAAAGCTTTACAAAAGCAGGCTGTCTCGTCGTTCTCCTGAGGAGTGGCTGTTGGATTTGAACCATCAACCTATTTGTTGTTAGCCATCATGAATCCACAGCTGTAAGTGTTGGTAGGCCTGTGGGAAATGTATAAACAGAGGGTGAGAGAACTCAGTGGAACCCAGTCTGACTACTTGGGCCAGACCACCTAATTGTCTGTTCCTTGGCATCTCTGTAACCACATGGTGACCCTCGTAGCCTGTTAGGGCCACTGGGAGAGCAGTTGCCCAGGCCCATGTTTGCGACCACCACAGTCTTAAGAACTGCTGTGGCTACAACTCCCAGTCAAAGCCCTGTTAGGTCCCACAGAAAATGCCTTCTTCACCAACTCTGCATAGAAGTCCATGCTCCGTAGCCTCTCTGGTCTTGTTTTCTGCATGGTATATCAAATGGTGATTTGAATGGACTTCTGGTGAATAATGGCTTCTTGCTAAAATGATGAGACAGATTGCTAAAGCAGGTGTGTGAGTCTACGTGCTGATTGTAAGCATTGTTGGCCAGATAGCCTGGAATATGTGAATTCTGGGAAATTTTTGTTCTAACAGAAAGGAACATAGTGGTAAGAATAAGACAAAATTAGGCTAATTGGGATGCTGAGATTTCTCCTTCCTGTTTATGTAATACTAGCCAATCTATTAAGGCATTTGACAAAATCGTCATGTTTATGTTGCATTTTTTTAAAACACAGATATTCAGATGAAAAGCAGACAGAGCAAATGAAAGCAAAGCAGTTTTGCCCTTTTGTTGGGTTTCCAGAAATCTCCAGGCTTCTACATTTTGGTGCTTTTTCCTCCTACATGGGGTGTGGGGGCGTGTGTTCTGCCCCACCTCGTGGACATATTCAGAACTGCACCTTCCCAAGACCGCATCAGAAAAACCTACTTTTCCCAACTCAAGGAAACGTTAACAACTCCCACTGAGAGCATCAGGGACCACACATCTTCTGGTCCTCCTCATAAAAGACCACAGGCTTTGTCAGAAGAAGACTGGCACAAATGTAATGGGGATGACCAGAGTGTGAGCCTTTCCTGCTCCTCTGCAGAGTCCCCCAGTGCAATGCAGTTTGCACTGCAAATGGAGACAGGTCTCTCTCGTTGGAGCTCAAATAAGGCATTCTTACAGGTTTCATCTTTTTACCGCAGAGCGAGAATGAGAAATTAAGGTTGTCAACACCTATTTCCTTTTTGTGAAGTGCTGTGGAGGCCCTGTGGTTACTGAGCTAGAAGGAGGATTGGTTTGGACATAGAAATGGGTCAGTAATGGGTTCATTTCACCCTAGCTCATCTTAGTTGAAGAAAGAAGCCCAGAAATAGCTTGGGGCATAAAGCTGCATAGCTTGAGTTGTATTGGCTTTGGAAATTGGCTTTTAGTAGCTCCCTTTTGCGGCTCTTGGAGGTTAGCATGTGATGTCTGTGTGTGCCACACAGCTCTTCTGTCAGCTGTATGACCTTGGGCTAGTCTTCTCATCTGTGAAATGGGTTCTTAAGATGGGTGGAAAATTCAGTGAATTCCTAGGGCCTGGACTGTGGCACATTCTTTTATATGTTATTGTTGTTATGTTCCATCAGGTCACCAGAAACTCAAAGCAACTCTATCTATGTACAACAGCTCTGAACCCTGCCCTGTCCTGAGCCAATCTCGCTGACTCCAACACACCTAACACCACTGCCCCAGTTACTGTATCAATCCATCTTATCCAAGGTCTTCCTCTCAAGTGCTGTCCCTCCAGTCCCTCCTGGCCACGTGCCCAAAGTATGTGAGGTGGAGCTTCAAAATCCTAGCCTCCAAGGAGAAACTTCGTTTCACTCTCTCCAAAACAGAGCTGTTCATTTTCTTGGTGGTCCACGACATGTTCAAGACTCTTCTCTTGCACCACAACTCAAAGGCATAATTCTTCTTCTGTCATCCTTTAGTCATTGTCCAGCTATCTGATGCATAGCAAGTAATTGCAAAGACCATGACCTGGATTAGGCGCACATTAGTCTCTAGACTGACATCATTGCTTCTCAGTACTCAGGAGGAGTCCCTGAGAGCTGACTTTCCCAGTGTAGTTCATCTTTTGATTTCCTGACTGCTGGTGTCAAGAGTGTTGACTGTGGAGCCAAGCAAGCTGTAATTGTTAATAACCTCAATCTCTCCTCCATATATCATATATATTAAATCAGTGGTGAGAATCTTTGTTTTCTTAATGTTCAGCTTCAATCCATATTAAAGACTATAATCCTTGACCTTCTGCAGCAATCGCTTCTGGTCCTTCTCACTTTCAGCAAGTAAGTTTGTGTCATCTGCATAATGTAGGTAGTTGATGAGTCTTCCTCCAGTCCTGATGCAGCATTCCTCCTCATAAAGTCCAGCCACCCAAATGATCTGTTCTGCATATAGATTGAAAATGTATGGGGATGGGATGCATCCCTGACACACTCCTTTCCTGATTTTGGACCATGCAGTATTTCCTTGTCCTGTTCTGAAGACTACTCTAGGTTTTGCATGAGCACAATCAAGTGTTCTGCAATTCCAATTCTTCTCAAGGTTAACCACAATTTGTTGGGATTATACATTCAAATCCCTTTACATAGTTAATGAAATACAGACAAACATTCCTCTGGGAATCTTTGCTTTCTGCTGAGATCCATCATTGGCAATAATGTTTCCAGTGCCATGACCTCTTCTAAACCCAGTTTATATTTCTGGTAGTTCTCTGTCAATAGTCCAATCATTTTTGGATAATCTTAAGCAGGATTTCTCTTGTGTGTGATATTAGTGATACTATTTGACTATTTCCACACTCTGTTGGATCACCTTTTTTTTTTTGGAATGGGGATAAACATGGTTCTCTTCCTGTCAGTTGGCCAGGTAGTTGCCCTTCAGATTTCTTGGCACGCCCTTCAGATTTCTTGGCACAACTTGGTGAGCACATGAAGGGCAGCATCTGTTTGATGAAATATGTCAGTTGGTATTCCATCAATTCCTAGGGCTTTATTTTTTTGCCAAGTGCTTCAGAGCAGCCTGAACTTCCTCCTTCATCACCATTACATGTTGAACATATGTTGTTTCTTGAAATTCTATGTTAGCCAATTCTTTTTGGTACAGTGATTCTGTATACTCCTTCCATCTTCATTTATTGTTTCCTGGATCATTCAATATTCTTCCCACAGCAATATTTTTATAAGGAACTCAAATCCCATGATTATCTCCTCCATGAATGCAGACAATGCTGTATGACTTACACTTTCATAGTTTTTATTAGAGTTGAAATGGCAACACTTAACCTTTTGGATTTGAAGCAGGAGTGGCATCCACTCCCTAAACAACATGCCTCCGCAAACTGTGAACTTTGATAAATGTCCATAGTTATAGAAAGGCTTCAGGCCTTTTGTTCATAGGTCACTATTAGTTGTACTTGACTTAAAGGAAATCACCACCAACAACAACTCAAATCTAGTAGAACTGATAAAAAAACCTTCGGTCAAAGACATCTATGATCTCTGATTCACCCAGCCTAAAATATGTCCCTGTCTCTGTGGAAGTAAGATGTAAATCTCATAGTGCAGACACAGGTGATTTTAGTAAGGATCTTACACCTGCCAAGAAATTGGAAGCTGGAGTTTCCTTCTTTCTGTGTTGATGGCGCTTATCCAGACACATGCCTATGAGGCAGTGACAGGCTTATAGCCTCCAGGTTGTGAGGAGCTCCCAGCTCTCTCCAGGGTCCCCTGAATCTGACAGTGTGGGATCTGACTAGGGTGAGTCACATGCAAATTCATTGGTCTCCAGGTTGAATGTGCCTCCTCTGACAGGCACCTGAAGGAATTCAGAATTTAGCAGTAAAACTTGAAAATAGCTCGTTGTGGTTTCCACTCCTCTGCCACTGAAGTATGATTTAGAGATTTCTAGAGGTGGCTATCATAAAGGAAAGGAGTGTGCAGGCACCTGTGTTGGATAGATTGTTCCCCTTGGTGTGGCTGAGTTCTGCCTAGTGACACCTATCCCCATACAACAGAACAGAATGCCTCCCCGCCCTGCCCTCCCCTCTCTGCAAGTCCCGCCCCACCCAGCCCACAGCCCAAATTGCCATGCTTGAGTGGATATTCCAGCCACTCTGTCAGTACATCTCCTTGAGAGCCTTTTTCATTGATGCTTTACCAAGTGTGTTATTCCTCTTCAGACCCTGGTCCCACCTGAAATCATGTCAAAAATACTTGAGGCAAAGTTCTGACTACTCTATTTCCAAGACAGAGTTGTTTGTTCTTCTGGCAGCACGTGGCATCTTCACCAACAACAGGACTCAAACGCAGTGATTTTTTTTCTTAAGCATTCATTATTCACTGTCCAGATTTGCATGAAAAAGAACCTTTGAAAATACCATAGCTTGGGTCGTAAAGTGTTAGTCATCAAAGTGATACCTTTACTTTTTAACACATTTGCAGATTTCCCCAATGCAGTATGTTTCGTTTCTTTACTGTTTCCCATGGAAAATGGACATCAATAGTGAGTGCAAGTAAAATTAAATGCTTCATAATTTCATATTTTCTAACCCTCTCAAAAGCCCCATGAAATTGAAATTGTTATTACATCCATTTTGCAGATGAGGAAACAGGAACAATGAAGTGAAGTGGTTTGGCTTACTCACACTGCTAGGAAAGAAATGAAGCCAGGTCAGGATGAGGTAGAATAATCTCAGTAGCCTTGCATCTTTGCATTCCTGCAACATCTGGCAAAGGCTCCTGTAGGAAGGGCTTAGTCAGTGCCTGCTAGGTTGAGAATGGTAGGATTCATGTGCCAAAAGTGCACTGGGAAATGGACAGAAGCCCAAGCAGTGCTCTGAACAACCAGCTCTGTAGGCCAGGGGCTGGCATATTGTCAATTTAAAATTACAGTTATTCAGCCAATGGCTCATAGGCCTGTAGCCAGTGAAAGAAGGGATTGGCTTGATCAGCTTTGGCTCTTATTTCAGGAACTCCACCTTCCAAAGAGGTACCTGCTGGGAAGTACCCATTCATAGTCACCTCTGATTCTGGGCAGAAGGTCCCTGTGGTGCAGGCCTATGCTTTTGGCAAATACTTGGGCTATCTGAAGGTCGAATTTGATGAGGCGGGCAATGTCATCGCTTCACATGGAAATCCCATTCTTCTAAACAGCAGCATTCCAGAAGGTAGGTGAAATTTGGGAGAATGTTCTGGCAATTAAAAAAATACATGGCTGGATTTTTCCTTTGCTTGTGAGGTTTTGTTGGTTTGCTTTTAATATTTCAGGGGAAAGTTCTAAACATTCTGAATATCTTAGCCTCTCCCTTGAGTTTACTCTTTTTTATGGACACAGAAAGTGAAAATTCCCATTTGCCTCAGAAGGCTGCTCCGTATTAGCTATTACGCATCACTGCTGCCTCTGCCTCCTTTGGGCTTCTTCAAGTGGACAGAGCCATTCAGCCTATGTCCAAAGGAGAGCTGATTACTACAGCAAAGGGATTCAAACAGAGCAGAACACTAGTTCTGGTCCTGCCATTGGGAAGCAATGCTCTGTTTCTATGGACTTCTATTTCTTTATCAGATGAAGATGTTGAGCCATCAATGTCTGTTTCTCTTTTATGCCTGGGATATTGGCTAAAATTTTCATTTTATGTCATCCATTTTCATGTGCTGTGTATGAATACACTTCTGCCCCTCCCTCTCTACCTGCTCCAGGATCAGGTCTGGAAAGAATAGACACAAGACTGGCCTCCCAGTAGCAGGAAAGGAGGGAGCCAGCCATCACAGAGAGCAGCGGCTCAGCAGAACTTTGGAGTACCAGCCACTGCCACTGCACCACTGATAGCTGTCACCACCTCCCAGTGGCTGACAGGTGTTCTGAGCTGCTGTTAGGATATGTAGAAGTTCCTAAGGAAATCTGAAGATCATACCCAAATAAGCATAGTAAAGAAATGTCCACTCATAACAAGTTGGTTTGATGGTTCTGTGTCTGATGCCTTCTCCAGAATTTAAGTCAGTGTGGGATCTGTTTTAATGGCAAGGTTTTCTTTTCCCTCCTAGATCCAAACATAAAAGCAGACATTAACAAGTGGAGGATAAAACTAAATAACTATTCTTCCCAGGAACTGGGAAGAACAGTTGTCTATTTGGATGGGTCCACTCAATCATGTCGGTTTCGAGAATGCAATATGGGCAATTTAATCTGTGATGCTATGGTAAGTCATCCACAGGAACAGGACTGTGTCTGGGAAAGGCGGCAGGAAGGATGGACTTAGGGAGGAGCAAACGGATAGCTCAAGCCAAGCAGTGGGGATTCTTAGTGCTTTTGGAAGGTGCCAGAACTAGTTCAGGTGATGCACACTTTATTGCTTTACAAGAACTAAAGCCTCCATTTTAATATGCTGTTTGTTGTCATGGATGTTTGAATTTTGGGTATTGCTTCCCTTTTGTAAGATGATCAGAATATAACAGATAAGGGAGTTCTGGTGGCCTAGTGACAAGAAGCTGCACTGCAATCCTGAACGCTCATAGTTCAAATCCACCAGATGATCTGCTGGAGAAGGAGGGGTAATCTCCTCCTGTGCCAGTCTGATCCGATCCAATTTGATGATACACAACAAGGGGTGGGGGGTGAATACAACAGATAAACTCTGCTACTCTGAAAATGTAGTCATAAAGCCAAAACACATTTGTGTGAGCCTAACTTGGCCAAATTGTGTTTCATCATTCTTTCCACTGACTCTAGAGAATCTAGAATTTGTGTGACTGGAACCACCTTTACCAGCTGTGATTCTACAGCAAGCAGTTGTAGTGATGATAGTAAAGTCTGATAGTAGAGTGTGGCTAAGCAAGATCATCCACAAAAAGTATTCTTCTGTGGGCACTGGCCATGGTAGCTCCCTAGGGACCATTTTGAGCCCAAGTCTCCAAAGTCATACTCACATGCTCAAAGCCACACTGAAGGGATCACTGCTTTATCGGTGTTCAGCATAGTACCTGGTATACAGCCACACTCAACAACTAGTGGTAAAGCAGATGACAGGGTTCATGCTTTCCAAGATGAGATCAGTGCTCACTCCAAAATCATGCGGCAGTAGGAAGGAAAGACCTAAGAGACTATGAGAGTATAATTAGATAGATAGATAGATAGATAGATAGATAGATAGATAGATAGATAGATAGATAGATAGATAGATGATAGATAGATAGAGGAGGACAGAGGAGGAAGAGGAGCAGAAGGAGGAAGGGAGCGAGGGAGGAAGGAAGAGAGGGAGAAAGAGGGAAGGACCTCGAATACCCTAGGTACTCTTTTTAAAACTTTCTTTTTTATGATTATGATTTTAATGAAGATGTATAGAAATGTTGGATTTTCATTCATTCATTTATTCATTGTTGACTTTCCTTCCTCCCTCTACCCACTCCCCCAGTTAACTTTTTTTATTTATAATTTTCCCCTTTTTTGTTGCATTTTCTTCTCTCCCTCCCCTTCCCCCCAGCCCTCCCAATGAACCCCTTGTTCCAGAATGTTGTCATATGTATAATGCCTAATTATATATTCCTTTTGGACACTTCTTCCCCTCATCTGTTCTATTACAGTGTTCATTATCTATGCACCCTTTTCCAGTTTGCTCCTCAACCCCCCAACCCTATGTCTGTCCTATTTCATAACAGTGATACAATACAGTATTTGTCCTTTGATGACTCAGGTAAGTGTTACGGGTACTTTTGCTTTTTCCTTTATGCTTTTTTTAAAAAATAATTTTAATGAAAGTTTACAGAGACTTTGGATTTCCATTCATTCATTCATTGTTGAACACTTGCCTCCCTGCCCACCTCTCCACCTAGTTCTCTTTT